CTGAAAAAGATCACGACAAAAAAAGGATGTCGTAAAGCAACATGCACAGAACGATGGTGGTTTGAACAGCCCATTTCAATGCTCATAAGGGGGAAATATTAAGGCGTCATGCTGTTGCGGTGTTTTTTGATGCCATGTACGCTTTGAGAAATGATTTTCTTGGTTTTTTTTTTGTTTTTCAGACGGAAATGTTTCGGACTGAAATTGGAAAGGAGGGAATTTTCTTGGCGTTAATTCATTCAGAGATTGGGAGTTACTCAGGAAGTGATATAGCGAATCGGGCTAGTTGGAACATACTCATGATGGTCAGTGCTAAAAGTGCCGCGAAAACAAAAAAGATAACAAGAAAGAACACGGCACAAGCGCTGTAGTGTCCTTTTTTGCGCTGACGGTCATGCGTATCGAGGAAAACAGTATTCTGTAAGGAACGCCGCCGCGGTATTCAAGTGGCTAAGGCTACTGACTCGCAGGTCGCGAGATTGAATCCCGGCTGCGGCGGCTGCATTTCCGATGGAGGCGGAAATATTGTAGTCCCGTGTGCTCAGATTTCGGTGCACGTTAAAGAACCCCAGGTGGTCAAAATTTCCGGATTCCTCCACTACGGTGTCTCTCATAATCATATGGTGGTCTCGGGATGTTAAACCCCACATAATCAATCATATTCTGTAAGGAAGATAAAGATGCATTTTACTTGTACTCCAATATGCGCTGAGCTTTCTGTCAGACTAAACCAGCATTCTACCGGTTGTGAGCAAGTGACGAGTAAATAATTTTCGAGAGTCGATTTGAATGCGCGTCAACAGAATGCGATTACAAAGTCAATGTGCTGTGTTCTAATTAGCCCCACATTTGACCAATGATGTGTCGAGTCGACTGCTTGCAGAAATTACGTAATTAATACTTTACACTCAAGTGCCCATTGCCAGCATGATTTCGTGGCATGTCTGGCTTAGCTATATATTTGGAAGAAATTCATCGGGAACCCACTGCGGTGGCACAGCGGATGTGGTGCTCCACTGCAGATACGAATGTCGCCGGATCGAATCCAGGCATTGGGGGCTTAATCTCATTCATGTGGTGGCGGAATTCGGCCTTATGAAAGATGTACTTAGGCTTAGGGGCACCCTAAAGAACCCGAGGTGGTCGAAATTACGGAAGCCCTCCATTACAGCGCCCCTGAAAATCACATCGTACTTTTGGGACGGAAAACCCCAACAATCATTAAATGGAACACAAGACGATGACTAATGAAATTCGACTACAGGACTGGTACCCCCATTCTTTCGTCTTACGTGTATGTTCTGGAGCTAGTCTTTGGAACATTACCATAATATTCAGGTTGGCAGGCTAGCTCCCCGTTTTTGCTCCTCCTTCAGGTAAGTATGAGGCACGGAAATGCTAACAGTGCAACAGATTATTGAAACAAACGTGATCAATGTAAAAGAACTATGTGAAACGTTTCGACCCTTGCTTTCCTGATGTAACTAAGCAACGCTGAATTCATGTTAAGCGCGGGAACAGAAGAAACGTAACTTTCCCGTTACGATCGCGTGGAAGGCTCACCGAAAGTTTGATGATAGCTCGGCGCACTGCTCGGACGCTGCACAATTCGGCACCCGTATCGAAATCTCCAGTGAGACCCGTGGTTTCGTCTGAGACTGCGACGGTTCAGCGGACGTTTTCAAGCGGCTCGCTCAGCAGCTGCGGTTTCTGTTGGGAACCGCATGACGACATTGTTGTGGGTGGGCGAGGGGCTCGTCACATGACACGGCCCTACAGTGACGTCAGCAACGGGCTTCCCAAGATAACGAGGCTACACCCAGAAAGAATGAACAAACAAACAAACAAACCTTTATTGAAAAACAGGCGAGACTGCATGCCGCGGCAACCGATCCTTTCGCTCGTGTACAGACACGCGGTGGGTGAATGCCTTGATACCGAGAGGTACTGTTTTGAGTGGTTTATCAAGATGCGGAGGAGAGGTTCTTACATTGGGAAATGGAACCGGCCAGCACCGGCGTCGACTCTAGTGGTTCGCCACGGCTTGTCGTCATGAACGCGATTTGATAAATCACGAGTACGCCAGAAAGCGAGCGGAGGTTAGAAGCCCTGAGGTCTTCTCACTTCCTTGTGGATGGACCCTTCGCTCTCTGAGGTTGCCCTCTCCTGGGACTTCCGTCTTCTCACTATCCACGTGCCGCTGGGTCCACTGCAATCAAATTGAGACAAGACGGCACGCTTTGCTTTGCCGTTCCGGCGTCTTTCCGGCCGCCCGGGCACTTTACTGATATCAAGACTCGCCGAATTCGTATCAAGTATACATCGACGTCCTCTGCTTTAGTGCTCGGTTTTTTCTTTTGGGTCATGGCGACGACGGTTACGCGAGTCTATCGCTGGTGGGAACAACGCATGCACGAGCCGCGCCTTGTGAGACGGAAAGGGTTGCTCCGTGACGCTGACGTCGACTTCTTTCGCGTCACGTGTCGGCGCTTACCGTTTTATTGCGATAGGGGCGCGTAATGCGGAGAAGGGCGCGTGTTAGTGCAGGCCCGTTGCTCGAGTTGAGGATAAAGTTGGAGGAAATCTAATCTGGGTCTTCCGCGAATGCCAGACACCCAGGCGTCGCTCGTCTCCGCGGCGTCTGTCGCGTGCTTAGTTTTCAGCCGTGCCAACGTCGTCATTGGCCGGGCGTGGACGGTGTAGACGTCGCGATTAAAACCAGTAGTTCGGAGCAGCGGATTACACAGTGATATTGGGGTGTGAGTGTTGACGCTAGTGAGGTTTGGTTTCATAATCAGCGTGACGTAATAGCTCACGAGCAAAAGACGCGTGACGTGAGGCTGAAGGAAGTGCTCGTGCATTTCGCTCACAGTCTTCTGTTACTGAGGCGTGTAACGAGTGCCCCCCATCCCAGCTCGCCACATTAAAGACCTCGCATGGCGTTTGACATTACACCGCCTTGCCACATGTTTTCGAAAAATATATTGAAGATGCACGAGCCAGGAAAGTCATTCCTTTATGTTATACTTTATGCCATATCGACTTCGCGAAAAAGATAAGCATTTTCAGGTAAACATCTTAGATGCTTCATCGAACATGACAAATGACATCGGTGCCAATACAAATTTAGCTGAGTGATGCGAAAAATCTTCCTGTGGGGACGTCATCGTGAAGTCATTTGTCAACAATAGGTGTGACGTAATTATGAGGACATCGTGACGTCACTATGACAGGGAAAAGGCGAATCAATGCAATCTACTGAGAAGAAGAATAAAAAATTGGCAGCATATCCACGGAGTGAATGATGGAAAGTGGGGCGAAGTTTTCGTCCGTCCATTCGTTCTTGCTTTCGTCCGTCCATGCGTCCGTCTGTGTGACCGTTCATGCGTCCATCCGCCCGTCCGTTCGTGCGTCTGTTCGTGCGTCCACACGTCCATCCGTGCGCCCATTTGTGCGCCCGTCCGTGCGTCCGTCCGTGCATCTGTCTGTGTGCCATTCGTCCATCTAGTCAACACTCCAAGTACCACCATCTCACATCATTTCATCATATATTCCGCATTTGGAAGAACCGCCATCCAGCGGACACTTCAAGGACTAAACGATAGGTGGCACCCGCACACTTTCTTACGGCTTGCGCTTCGGGTCTAGTTCCCACCTTTAACCACCTCGAGTTCATGGTATATACTTGTTCACTATATTCATGGCACTGCGGCCCAACGCTCGCTAAACCTTTCTAAAACCAAGGAGGTTGCGCCCAGCGAGTATAACGTAGCAACCTTTTCCTGTCAGATAGAGCTCAATGTACATGCCAATGGCTGCTAATGGGGATTGCAGCGTGTGTGTTGACTAAAAGCCGAATGCTAAGGGGGAACCCTTAGCAGCCACTGGCATGTACATTGAGCACTATCTTTCATTGTTCAACAACGAACAGAAGAAATCTCACCGGCACCACCTTGGAGGTCAAAATGTTATACTTGTTACACACTACAACGGCTACGAGGGACGAACGGGTGCCGCTATAAGGAGTTTCGACCCTAAAAGCAAAAGTAGTAGAAGATTGGTTTCGCTTTCCAGTCGCATCTGGGGCATGCATAAGGGGGCGGTCTTCATATGGTCGTCCGTAGCAAGCATGTGCTGGCTGCCCCACGGCCGAGGAGCGGCGCGCTCGAGAAAAACGGCAACGAGAGCAGAGATGCGAGTGCGCTGCGCAGTTCAGCTGGTGGAACACAATCAAGGTGGGGAATGGTGTCAGTTTTTATTTTACAACGATAGTCTTTGGGATACATGAACGCAGAAATTTGGTCTATCTGTCTGTCACTCTGTCTGTCACACGATTCAGCTACCTGGCAAACGTCTAACCACTTGCTGAACGCCCAGCCCTCTTGAACTGGTGGCTGCGTTAGTACTTGGGAACATTGTTGATCAAAACGCAAATATTACGCATATCTGAGGCGCAGCATCAATGCCTAAATATTAGGTGGTGTGTTCACTTACTGGAAAATACATAGATACGCAGTTCTAAAGACCCTTGTGTTTCCTACGCTGCGCTGAAAATGCAACGCTATGCACGAAAAAAACCCCCAGACGACGATTTTTTCCTGCCACCTGGCAGAACGAAAATAGTACGATAACAGCATCACGGGTGGACGCGGATAAGAGCAGTACTTCTGTAGCACAACCTGCAGAAGACTATCGTCTTTTTATGGCATTTGCAGCAAAGCACGCACACGCACAGCCAACTTGTTTTATTAGAGTCATTAATTATATCTTGTGAATCTCTTGTAAATCTCTTGCATTCGGCAGGGTGCTTTAACAGAACGCAGACATGGAGCTAAATTTTTAAAATAAAGTCATGAACTATATCTTGTAAATCTCTTCCAAAGGGTGCTTTGACAGCCACGCCGAAGCAGCGCTTCCCAAACTGCAGAGGTTTGCACGGGTGGGATCACACGTGCTACTCGACAAGATAACGGCCCCAACGCCGTAATGTGTCACGAGGA